ATGGTATGGAATACCCCTTTGGCCAGTTTGGGTCAGCTGTCCTGGCTGTGCCCCCTCCCAGCTTCTTGCTGGCAGGGCATAAGAGGCTGAAAAGTCCTTGACTAGTGTAAGCACTGCTCAGCAACAGCTAAAACATCGGTGTGTTATCAACATTGTTCTCATACTAAATCCAAAACACAGCACTGTACCAGCTACTAGGAAGGAAATTAACTCTATCCCAGCCAAAACCAGGACACTGTGTTTTTACTGCAGCTTTGGAACAACTATTTCCACCTGGCCGTGGCTTTCCTCACCCAGGACTCCCTGCAGCTGGAGAACTTCTCCCAGGCCAAGCGCAACAGCATCCTGGCCAAGTGAGTCCCCCTTGCCTTCACTGGCCCTCCCTGGCCCAGCTGCCTGCCGGCATCACCTCAAGGCCAAGTTCTGCAGCTCTGCTTCAGGTTCCTGCCTGCCTGCTGCCACGCCGTGGGGTCAGGGGTTTTGGGAGGGGTTGGTTGGGCTGTGCTTGGGCTCCTGGCCTGGATGCTGTGGTCCAGGCTACAGAGCGATGCTAACCACCATCCGTCCTGGCAGGTATGGAGACATGAGAGCCACAATCGGAGCTGCCATTCGGGACATGTGGTACAACCTAGGTGAGCTGCAGTGTGGCCAGCAATGAGGAGCCTTAGCAAGTCTCTGCAGGCTGGTGTTTATCAGGACTGTCCCCAAAATGGGTGCTGGGGAGCAGGATGTTGCTTGTGTGGGGCATGGGAGCCTGCAGGTGCAAGCAGGGTGTGTGAGCCTGCAGGCGTGTGAATCTGCAAACCTGTGGGACGTGCAAGCCTGTAGGGTGTGCAATCTGTGGGATGCTGCGGGATGTGCAAGTCTGTGGGATATGTGAGCCTGGGGGGTGTACACATCCGCAGGCGTGCAAGGCCACAGGTGTGCGAGCCTGCAGGCACTGTGGCCAGTCATGAGCTCGCACTCCCTGCAGGCAGCCTCCCCTCTCCGGGCTGGCAACTGCCTGCAGCCCTGCCTTCCCGTTCCCCAGTCCTGTGGGCTCCTGCCTTGCCTTGTTTCCCCTGCACAGTGTGGGTCACGCTGTCGACAGCATCCCAGGGCCAGGCAGGTGGGGAGGACGCAGCACCTCAGGTCTCTGCCCCACACCCCAGCAGGGAGCTGCAGGGAGCAGCCCACAGCACAGTGGTGGAGCAGTGATGGGTGCCTGCAGGCTCCTGCGTGGGTTGTTCGCATGTGCCAGGGCTTCCAGAACAGCAGCACAACCCCAGCTGATGGTACCACAGCCGAGTGTTTGCCGTGCTGTCCTGGCCATACAGCATTACCTGCCCACCAGCATGGCTGCCCCAGAGCATTGCCCGGCTCTGCTGCGGCCACCTGCCCCAGGCGTGCAGACCTCCTGGCATCGCTCTCTCTCCTCTTCCCTGTGTTGCTGCTTGTTTGCAGCCGTGGGGCCCCAGGCCAGGGCTGGCCCCGGGAAGCAGGCTGCAAGAGCCCGGCCCCCCAAGCCTTCCCTTCCCTCCCCAGGCCATCACAAGATCGAGTTCATCCCAGGCATGGTGGGCCCCATCCTGGAGATGACGCTCGTGCCGGAGCTGGAGCTGCGCAAGTCCACCATCCCCATCTTCTTCGACATGATGCTCTGCGAGTACCAGCTGACCGAGAGTTTCAGCCGGGTGAGTGGCCAGGGCTGCAGCTGGGCCATGGCAGGAGGTCAACGTGGCCAGATCCTGCTCCTCACCCAGGCTGGACCATCCCTTTCGGGGTGGGTGGAGGTGATGCTCAGCCTCCCCCTTCTCATCTTGGGATGTGGGCCTGCAGGAGGGAGGGACAAGGGACAGGGGACGGGGGGATCTGGTGGGGACATGAGGAGCAGGGAGAGCCGCCGGGTGACACAGAGGATTTCCCAGGGGTGAGCAGGGACGGGTCAGGTGTCACCCACTCAGCCAGTCCCGGCACTGGCTGGAAACAAGAACACAGTGGGAGGGGGGAGGTCTGCACAGACCTCCTGCATTTCTATTTGTTTTCCCTTGTTGCTGTGAGTTTTCTCCATGCAAAAGGCTTTTCCAGTTTTTGATTAGGTGGCATTTGTCTCTTCTGAGCTGGAAGCCTTTCACCATGTTGGGGCGTCCCACAGGAGGAGAGGGGCTGGGACTGCCCTCGGAGCCACGGTGACGTGGGTCCTTCTGCAGCCCCTTCCCCAGCTCGTTTCTCGCACCTGGGTCTGCAGCCACAGGAGAGTTGCGTTGGAGGAGCAGTGTGGGCACGGCTGGGCTCAGAGGACCCGAGGCCTTTGCAGGAGATGTCCCCGAGCCATTCTGCTGTGGCACAAGGGCTCTGCGGTTCAGGAGCCGACCATGGCAGTGCCCCTGGCCCAGGGGAAAAGGTGCCCTGAGTTTGGGATGTGCAGACACTAGAGGGACCCAGGGTGGAGGCAAGGGGTACCAAGGGGTACCAGCAATCAGATATCTGTTCCAGACTGCCCCCATCCCATACTACGCACATGCAGGATCCCCCAGGCTTTTGGGTCCATCGGCTGCAGCTGGAGCACAAATCCCGTGGACCTGAAGGCTGAGCATCAGCTGGGAGATGGGGGACCCCAGGCTGGCACAGCCCTGCCACCCTCGGCAGGGAAGGCTGTGGCTTTAGGGGGCACAGGGCACTGCCCAGAGAACCCTGGGGTCAGCCAGGCCCAGACTGCTGGGGAACGGTGATGAGGCCAGTGCAGGAGCGGGATGGGGACTGGGGAGCAAGTCAGGGACCCAGAGAGCAGGATGGGGCCCTGTCTGTGCTGGTGCAGTGTGAGGACCCATCCACACCAGGGAGCAGTATGGCCTGGGAGCGGGGACAGGGACCCGTCTGTGCCGGGCAGTCCTGGGGGAAAGGGCTGCAGCAGCCGAGCCTGGGGGCTGTTTGGGGGCCCGAGCTGGCTCCAGCTCCCACAGCCCCTCCTGTCCCAGCGCTGCAGCCCCATGTCGCGGGGCTGCAGCCGTGGCAGATTGGGGCCAAGCTCAGCACATCCTCAGCTCCTCGGCCGCGCTCATGCACATCTCTGCAGTTTGAGGACGAGATCCTGCACAAGCTGGACAGCGAGGTGGAGGGCGGTCGGGGAGATGAGCAGTACAAGCAGCTTTTTGAGAGCATGTGAGTGTGCAGTGACATCCCCACAAGCTTCTCTCCAGGGCGTGACCCTTTGCTGTCTACCATCCTCCTGCCCCAGCTGAATCTTGGCCATCCTGCTCCTCCTCACTCTGTGCTCTGACCCAGAGCATGCCTCTCAGGGGGTTGGGACCTAAGAGGAGGAAGGCTGCTGCCTGAGCAACATCATGTGCCCCTTGCACACCGCTGCTGCCCTGGAAAAAATACCCCTGCCCTGCACCAGGTGATCCCTGTGCCCCAGGTGATGCCCCTGCCCTGCCCTGCCCAGGCTTTGCTCCTGCCCCGTGGTACCCATCACAGATTCATGTGCAGAGTGGCTGGAGCTGTGAAGTGTCTCCCCATCCCTGATGTACCTGGTGGGGGGCAGCACGGGGCTTGCCTGTATCGCTGCAGACCAGGTGTTGCTTTTTGTCCCTTGTTGGGGGGGCCTCCCCCCCCCCCAACTCCCTGCACCTTGGGGGAGCTGAGCCAGGGCAGTGGAGGGAGCTGAGTATGCAGTGAGACCCATGATGTCCTCTTCCTCCCCAGCCTCCTCAGCTGCTGCCAGAGACACCCTGAACTGGCCAAGCCCGGGGAGAACTTCGTCGCAGTGGTGACCGGGCTCCTGGAACGGCTCCTCGACTACCGGGCTGTTATGAATGATGAGAACAAAACCTACAGCATGAGCTGCACCGTCAACCTCCTGGTAGGCACCTGCCCCATGCTCCCAGCTCCCCCAGGGCTCAGCCCCGTGTCCCCCCAGGTCCCCCCAGGGGCTGCAGTGCCCCTGGCACAGCAGAGATGGGGTGCACATGGTGCCAGACCCGGTGTCCCCCAGGAGGTACTTGCTGGGAGGCACCGTGCAGCTCCCCACTGCCAAGGGCAACCCAGCCCCCACACGGGGACAGTTCCGGCAGCACCATGACCCAGAGCAAGGTGTGGGAGACTGGGGGGCAGTGGCACATGACCCCTCCTGGGATCACTTAAAACAGCCTCATTTGCTCTTCCCCAGAACTTCTACAAGGAGATCGACCGCCAGGCCATGTACATCAGGTGAGCACGGCCCCAGGGAGACCGGCATCACTGCGGGGTGAGGGGTCCCAGGGCCCCGAGCTGTCCCAGCCCCCTGCCGCCCTGGCCCCAGGCACATGGGATGGGGATGGCAGAGTGGCCGGAGGGGCAAGGCACCAAGGGCTCTGACCTCTACCCAGCTGTCAGTGAGGGATGCTGCCCCATGGGGGAGCACGGGCCAGCTGTGCCGGCCGTCATGCCCCACACATGGTACCCTTGCTCCCAGGTACCTGTACAAGCTGAAGGACCTGCATGTCAGCTACGAGAACTACACGGAAGGAGCCTACACCCTGCTACTGCACGCCCGGCTCCTCAAGGTGGGGCACGGGGGGCCCAGGGGGTGCGGGGCCTGCGGGGGCTGCCCAGATGGGGCGCAAGGGCTCAGCGTGATGGGCTCCCGCTCCCCCTGGGCAGGGGGCGGGTGCGGCGCACACCGCCCCCTGATGGGCTCCCGCTGCCTCTGTGCAGTGGTCGGATGAGGCGAACACAGCCCCCATGCAGGGCTTGCACAGCCCCAGCCTGCACACCCAGCGCCAGCTGAAGGAGGCTCTCTACAACCAGATCATCGACTACTTCGACCAGGGCAAGGTGAGCGTGGCTGTGCGCCCCCAGCAGCCCCTCTCGCCTCGCCCAGCCAGTGGGAACTGGGCTGTCTCAGGGCAAGCCTGGCTCCCCAGCCACCACTGCCTCCTGCTCTGAGCCGCCAGCCTCAGCACAGCCCACCTGCCCACCCCACCACTATGGTGGGGCTGGAGCTGCCCTGCAGCGAGCCCAGGCTGGACGGTTCACCCCACAGCCACCTGGCTGCTGCAGCTGTCCTTCCCCCAAACCCATCCCATCCCATCCCAGCTTCAGCCCCCAGCCCTGGCACTGCCTGGGGGCCAGTAACTGGGGCACCCCAGGAAAGGGGCTTGCCCGGGCAGGGGGCTCAGGTGCTGGAGATGGCAGGAATCTGAGTCCTGCTGCAGCCCACCAGTGCCCAGCCGGACCACCAGCCCGCATGGGAGAGCCCTCCCCTCCTCGCTCAGGAGCAGGGGTGTGGGTGCCCCCACAGATGGGACTAGTCTCTTCTGGAAGCCTCCAGTGCCCCCCCCCAGCTCATCCCTCATTGCGGGGCCCCTGACCTGGCCCCATCTTCTGCAGATGTGGGAGGAGGCCATCCACATCTGCAAGGAGCTGGCGGAGCAGTACGAGAGTGAAGTCTTCGACTACGAAATGCTGAGTGACATCCTGGTGAGTGCTTGGCCGGGCTGGGGGGGGCAGCTGCCAGCAGAGTGGGCTGGGGCGCCGCAAGCCGCGGGGAGGGATGGGGGGGGTCTGCAGGGCTCCCATCCCATGGCAGGGCCCTGGCCCATCACCACTCCTGCCCCTCTCCCCCTGCAGCAGCGGGAAGCCAAGTTCTACGAGAAGATCCTGAAGGTGCTGCGGCCCAGCCCAGACTACTTTGCCGTGGGCTACTACGGGCAAGGCTTCCCCACCTTCCTCCGGGTAAGTGGCTCCCAGCTGCCCCGAGGCCAGCGCCACGGCAGCAGCCGGCACGCTGCACCTGCCTGGGACAGCGCCGGCACCCAGGCCAAGCCTCACGGCTGCGGCCATCTCAGAGTGACACCCTGTGAGCCGAGCCCTGGTGGTGTCCCCGCTCCCAAGGGATGGGGCCCCTCGCCAGGGTGGTGGTGATGACTGGGTCCCCAGTGCAGGTCTGTGCCATGTCATAACTGGGTTGCAGGGACAGATGCGTGTTGTATCATACCCGTGGTGCAGAGATGGGTCTGTGCTATTTATAAACAGATTTGGGTACCTCCGGGGTCACTGCGGGAGCCCCGCCAACCTTCTCCCCACCAACCCTCGCCCTGTCCCTGCAGCACGGTGCTGTAGGCAGGGGCTTGCTCAGCACCTCTCCCTTTTCCTGCGCTGGCAGACAGGCTCCTGGTGTCCACCAGCGAGAGCAGGGCTCATCTTTCTGGATGAGAGCAGTGTTTCACCCCCATTCACTCCTATTACATTCCTTAGGTTTTTAATCCACTCAGATGTAAGTTGGCATGCTTGGTGGGCTTCTTCCATCCAAAGTGTTGCTCCTTATTCTCCTATGCCGCTGTTACGGCCACAGCAAGGGTGGCATTATTTTCACAGAGGTCACGGTGGGTTTCAAGGGCTCCTTGCTGTCTCCTGGGTGGTTTCTGTATCCACCGACCGCAGACCCCAGTCACTGCATGCCCAGCCAAAGACCTTTGCTTCAGAGCCCTGTCTGCCTGAGCCAGCTCGCCCTTTAATTCCTTTTTCCCCCAGCTGCTTTGTTTAGGGAAATAATTTTTTTGAGGGGGGGTGTCTCCCGCTCAGCTAAGGGCCCAGCCTTGTCGGTGCCTGCACCCCTAAGGCACCAGAGCTCGCTGCAGCTGGAGCATGGGGCCGAAGGTTCCCCGGCCCCGCTCCGCAGCATGCTGGGACAGGCTGCCATCTTCCTCCCCTGCAGAACAAGGTCTTCATTTACCGGGGCAAGGAGTATGAGCGCCGGGAGGACTTTGAGATGCGGCTGCTGAGCCCCTTCCCCAACGCTGAGCAGCTGAAGAGCACGTCTCCACCCAGCCAGGACATCACCGGCTCCCCGGGCCAGTGTATCCTCCAAGTGTGGGGACGGGGCTGGGAGGGTGGCTCGTTCCCTGTGCCATCATCCCCTGCACGGGTCCTGCAGTGCCTCCCCACACACCCCTGGGGTTCTCCCCCTCTGGGCCCCAGGGCCCCTCTCCCATGCAGCCTCTGTCCCCTGCAGTGTGCGCCCGTGGCTCCTTCACTCACACAGATATCCAGTGTTTCACCGTGCAGCCAGTGGAGGAAGCCAAGGTCCGGTTCAAAGACCGGAGCATCCCAGAGCAGATCACCAAGTGAGTGCCCCGGCACAGACAGGGTGCACCCGCTCTGCTCCACGTGGCAGGGAACACAACAGGGGGGACCTCTCCCATGCTCTGCCCCTTCCCTCCCCTGCAGTTTCTATAAAGCCAACCATGTCCAGAAATTCAGCTACTCGCGGCCCTTCAAGAAAGGCCCAAAGGATCCAGACAATGAATTTGCAGTGAGTGCTGGCAGGGGCTGCCGGGACCCCTGGCTGGGAGGGACAGGGAGAGCTGAGGGGCCCCTGTGACGAGCCAGGTGTCCGGAGGAAGGGGGATGCAGGAGAGACAGGGGCTCCCCCAGTCCTGGGACGGGGAAGATGGTGGTCCCGTGCCCATGGGAAGGGGAGGTGGGAGCCCCCTGCCCCATGGGGCAGCCAGGGGTGTCCCAGGGTGATGGGGAGGAGGGCAGCATGATGACTGCTGCCCTCCCCGCAGACCATGTGGATCGAGCGGACAACCTTCGTAACAGCATACCCCCTGCCCGGCATCCTGCGCTGGTTCGTGGTGACCTCCACTACCACGGTGAGGAGGAGGGTGCGGGGGGAGCGGGGCCTTCCCAGGGCATCCCTTCCCCAAGCAGCATCACAAACCCCAGATCCAGGTGAGCACACTGCCCCCAGCCCCTTCCAGGCTTCCCAAGCTCAAGAGGCTGAAGCCGGGGTGCGGGAAGCACATCCCATCTGCTGCCCTGGACGAGCCCCTGCCCCGGGTCCCTGTGCCCCATCAGTCTCTGCTCTCAGTGTAAATGTGATCCAGCCCACCCAGCGCTTGAGCCCCCAAACCCTGCGACTCCCAGCTCACTCCCATGCCACTGTGGTCCCTTGGGTGCGTGGTCCAGGGCAGTGTCTGCGGCAGAGCAGACCCAGCTCCCACATGCACCCTCCGCCTGCAGGGCAGGGGAAAGGTTTCTCTGCTGACACTGGGCACGGAGATCCCCTGGCACTCAGGGCCGCGACAGCCTCTGTCAGCTGGTGCCGGTAGCATCAACCTGGTGACAGGGACTGGTTTGTGTGGCTCACCCACTGGGAAGCATATCTCCTCCGTGGGAAGCAGAAGACAGTGTGCAGGGAGCAGCAGAGGTGCTGGACGAGTTTCAGCAGACCACTGCTACTTCTGGGGCTGCTGACAACAGCTCCGCCCGTGGGTTTTACGCCTCTGTCAGAGGGAGGTGCTTGGCCAAAGTCCAGGGTGTTTCAGGTGCTGCAGCAAGGAAGACACGTGAAATGCAGTAGCCGGACTGTTGCATGACAGCTGTGCTGCAGGGCAACTGTACGGCTGCACGAGTGCTGCCACACGCACGCGTGCTGTCACACACGCCTGTCTACTGCAGTGCTCTGTGCACGCTGCTGTTGCACAGCTGCCCCCCCTACTGACAACGACGTTTACCCAGGTTTCCCATAAGCTCACCGCTGAGCTGCCACTGCCACACGTCCGTCTCCTGGCCTGCAGGACTAACCCTGCCGGCAGCCTGTGCTTGGAGCTGGGGACCAACACTTCCAGTGCTTCCCCCATGAGCCCTCGGCTCAGCTCCAGGCAGCCGGTGCCAGGGGTCTGAGGGGCTTCGTGGGGTGAGATGTGCAACCCCGGGGCCTCTCTCCTGCAGGACCGGGGAGAGACCACCCTGCCGGCCCACACCAAGATAGGCAGGTTGCTGGGTCAGCTGGCTGCTGACCTTCCCTCCCTCCCTCCCTCCCTGGGCACAGACCATCATCTCCCCCCTGGAAAATGCCATTGAGACCATGATGAAAACGAATGAGAAAATTATGAGCGAGATCAACCGGCACCAGAACGACCCCAGCCTGCCCATCAACCCACTCTCCATGCTGCTCAACGGCATTGTGGACCCTGCTGTCATGGGTGGCTTCGCCAAGTATGAGACGGTGAGGACATGTGGGTGCTGCGCCGGGGCCAGCATGGGCACTCTCAGGGCTGGCAACCGCAGGCACTGGCACCGCTTCGCACCATCCCCTGCCTGCGCGGAGCCGAGCCAGCCTGTCAGCAGAATTGAGAGGGGGTCGTTGCAGGCCTTCTTCCAGGAGTCCTACCTGCAAGAGCACCCTGAGGATGAGGGGAACATCGAGAAGCTGAAGGACCTGATCGCCTGGCAGGTACAGCCCGCAGCATCCCTCCAGCAGCCAGAGGGGACAGCTGCCCTGGGGTGCCAAGTGCCCAGCATCCCCATCCTGGGGGAGCCCCACAAGCCCAGGCAGACCTGTCCCCGTTCTCCCGCAGACCCCGCTGCTGGCAGAGGGGATCCGGATCCACGGGCGGAAGGTGACGGAAGACCTGCGGCCCTTCCACGAGCGCATGGAGCAGTGCTTCATGCAGCTGCAGGCTAAGGTGGAGAGCCAGTATGGGGTCCGGGAGATGGTGAGTGCCAGAGTGGTGAGCACAGTGCAGGCACAGCTGGGGCTGCACGGGTAGTGCGTGGCACCTGTGGGGGGACACTGGACAAGCCAATGCAGGTCTGGGGCTGCAGGGAACAGCTTGATAGGGCCACAGCTGCAGCAGCATCATGGTGAGGGGCACTGTGCATGGGGGACCTTGGGGTCCCTGCCTGCCCTGGGTGGGGGGACAGCACTGCTGTGGGGTGGCTGGTACTGGCACAAAACCAGGACTGGGCAGAGAGACTCTGCACTCTCATCCCTGCTGGCTCTGTCTCAGGCTCCTTGTGTTCTCAGGTCTGCTTTGAGGACCGGCGGAGTGGACGACCCCGGTCCGTGGCCTGGGGACCCGACTGGGACCGGCTGAGCCATGCTGGAGACAGGCAAGTGCTGTGGTGGGGACCACTGGCTCTGAGCCACCCCCTCTCACCGCCCTCACCCCTCCCCACTGGCCCCGTACCACTGAGCCATCCTCACTCTCCTCCACCCCAGACGCTTCTCTCCCACCTCCCCAGCCCACTGCACTCCCGGCTTCCCTTTATGCCAAACCACATCTCAGGGGTCCATCCTGCCATGCCACCATGGTGGCCCTGTCCCTGTGGTGGGACATGGTGCAGAGACACCCCATGTGCAGTCCCCAGGCTCACCTAGACACCACTGTCACCTGAGCCATCCACACTTGTCTTGCTGGCTTGTCCCCCCTAAGCATCCACTGCTAAGCTCTACCGGAGATGGTGCTGGTGCCTGGCTGAGGGCAGCCACTCCTGGCCATGGTCCAGCTGTCCCATGGCATAGCCCTGCTCCCCATTCCCCCTGCCACCCACCTGCCCCTCATCAGCCAGTTGCTCCACAGCACGGAGGCACCCCCGACCCCAAAGCCTGCCCCTCGCACCTCCGAGAGTGAGGACCGCAGGAACGAGCGCAAGGAGAACCGCTCCAGCACCTTCTTCGGGTACCGGCGGCACGGACCTCCGCAGG